GCTAGCCGTGGGCCCACAACTCTTTGTGGTCAAAACTCGTCCCTTAGAGTTACGATTAAGATGAAGCTTGTTTCACCTTAATCACCCAACGAATCAAGATTGGCGTCTAGCAACTACGCGTCATGATTCCCTAGATACAAATGAAGTGCTTGCAAGAACCTTCAGATATAGTTAACGTACAGTACGGTCCCTTCGATTCATATGTCCCGATCGAACTAGAGGCATTGGTTCATCGAGACCTCTTTATATGTTCGATGACGGTGCGATCGTTCTAAGTGTTGTAATCCTTACGTGCATGACTTAGAGAATCGAATTCTCTAATCATCACCTAGTCAGCTCTGGCCAGAGACTTAGAATGATTACAAACTTTCAGAACACACAGGACATCCAAGACTATTCTAGCGATCGAATCCCCGACTACAATGCACAGACCTCTCACTAGATTTCGGACTGCACGAACACTGGCCCTTGGGATGGTCCTCGGTGGAACTCTGGGACAGGTCACGATACAGCTGGTCCTCTAGTGAAGTCACGGTGATGTCTAGGTCATAAGGACTAATGGTGTACAACTATACCATAGATATCTCTACTCGATTATTAGGAACCACTTAAAGATTTCTAGGGTGAGGGAGTTCAGTGAACTCGTCAACTTACGAGCACCCACTTATGCATGCCGATATCACAATACCGTTTACTGATGAGATGCAGTACACATACACTAAGTGCTAGTCTTAATGGGAAAGGCCGATATCCTCATTAGTGACGTAACCCTTCGACTAGGAACACGTTTAACAGTTATAATAATTAAGTAAATATCTCACGATCCTAACGATCAATTACTAGTACTTGTAATAACTGTAAGGACTATATCTATGCTTGTGACAAAGGGACAAAGATATAGAATGCCAAGGTGTTTTATCATTAATACGAATAAAGGTTCGTTTATTACAATAATAAATACGAAAGACCACAGCCACATGTTGGCTTGTTGGTCACCTACTCTAACAGATTATTACACCAAATGAATGCGATTTAATATTCGGAATCAAATCCGGCGCAACAAACATCATTACCAGACGAGCCGCAAAACCAGATTTTGGGCTTGCTGTGCGTAAATTCCATGATCACGACAGGCTAAAATTGTACAACGTGAAGATTGAACTCCTCAAGTATCTTCGGAGCACCGAACAGGAAGACATTGAAGATGTTGTACGCATGGTCATCCTGCACGTCCTCGCAACATGCTTCTTCGCAACAGCTGGCGAGCTCGTTAATTGGTGGATCTTCCATTTATGCGAAGACATCGATGCCATGGCGGTTTACAATTGGGGGGAGTGCATAGTTGATTTCCTTATTGACTATGTCCAAAATAAAGAAAAAGTAACGCAAGTTAAGGGATGCACCACATTGTTACAGGTACGAAAAATTACACACTTGCATTAACCGACTATGTAAATTGTTTATATAATAGCTGATTAAGATATTTACTAATATAATCTTTCTTTTTGTAGTTCTGGATCTGTGAGAGGATTAAACTGATTGAGCCTTTACAACCAAATGCATTCCCAAGGTTCCGAAAATGGCATCTCCCAACCCTCGGCAATAAACTTGAGAACTTAGCTATCAGGGACATACTTGACGCCGATATTGACGACCATGAGCTCGTCATAAGGGAAAGAGAGTCACAAATCTATACAATGCAGGATCAAGAGCACGTCGATTATGATTTGTAAGAAGACACAAAAGACCAGGCGGGCAATGCTGACAGTCGTATTGGCAAACGCAAGAGGGATGCAAAATCGGATCAAATGTTAGATGAAGACACACCACTTGCTGCATTGATAAACAGGATTCCAGATAACTTCATGAAAAAGTTGAAGGAGAAGGAGGCGCAAAACGTCAAGCTGTCGGCGGACCTTGCTGCAATGACTGTGACTGCGCTACAGTTCCAGAAAATGACGGAAGACTTGGAAGCAAAAAACAACATACTCAAGGAGCAGCTAGCAAGAAAAACAGAGGTGGAAAAACTGAGTCCAACATCATCGGCAGCAACGCTGCAACAGACGCAAGACCAACTCACGGATGAGATCGTAAAAACCATTGATTTATTAGCAGAGAACTACCAATTGAAAACTGACAACGATCTTCTTGGTGCAACAAATGCGGTGCTGAACGAACAAGTGGATGAACTCAAGGCCAATATGAAGACCCTCACTGAGCAGCATCAAAAGTTACAACAGTCTAACAACGATCTCCGTGCTCAAATGGAAGAGAAAGAAAAACAGAGCCGAACCGACACCATCCATACACCAGATGGCAGCCCCCAAATGGATGATTGTCCATCGTTCACGCTCCTTTCTCCCACTCAGAAGGAACCAGAATCAACCCATGGAGAAGAATTCTCGCAGTTGCCACTAACTGCCATGGATGAAAAGGACCTCGGGATGTTGATCTAATGACGGCAGTGGAATTGTACAAGCAGAACGAGGCTAAACTCCGGAGCAAAGTTCAAGACCAAGAACAAATAATAAATGAACTCACAACTACCTTACAATCTAGACCACCGCAGCAAAACCCCGCTGAAGAAGATGTCGATCAGTTTGATGACGCCGTGAACGAGTTTATGGAAGAAATTGAACCCAAATCCGTTGTCGCTGGGCGCACACGATCAAAAAAAATCCACCGTCTCACCTAGAACAGTTTCGAAAGTTGCAAAAACATACAAGAATTACACAGCCTACAAGTAGATGTCAGAGACTGGCCAGCAACTGCTCAATTTCATAGCAACCACAGCTGGGGATAAAATGGGGTAAGTAACTCTTTGTATTAATCGACTGTGTTATATGAATATTAATCGACTATCACTTATAAGCCATAGTCAATTAAAAAATCTACTTGTTTTTTGTACAGACGGCTGTACTGGAGGAGTGCAGATGGCAAAAAAATTGTGCAGATTGAAGACTTGTTCACCATCATAAGGAATGAAATGATCTACAGCGCAGTAAGTAAAATTAAAAAGAATTATTCTAATAAATGCAATATAATATTAATTGCTCTGTTATCTTTTCATGAAAAAAAGCCGTTAGACTCCTTCTGTGAGATTTTGATGATTGAGCAAGCAAACGGCAAATTCAAACGTGGAGCCCATCCTGACTTGAGTGGGGAAAGCTATGTTTTCCCATGTTTGCTTC